AGGGTTAAAGTTTTATGGAGTCTGGTGATAACACACCTGTAATATCACTATTCTGGAAGCTGAAGCATTAAGATCAAACCTGGAGGCCAATCTGAGTTACTTAGCAATACCCTGTGACACAAGTAAAAAAATTTTTCCAGTTCTCATACATAGACTTAAAGCTACCTAAAAATTCCTTATTACATACAAATGTTTCTGTAATTAACTTAACTCTTACAATACCTCAAAATTACTCAGTTAAAAAAACAAGTTTCTGATCTGCAGGAAAATCTTACTTCTTTTTACAAATGTAATGTATCTTGCAAACTGCATTGTCTCCACTGTGTGTGGCACAAATCATAGGGTATTAAACACAACCAACACAGACAAAAGCCTGCACATTACATTTAACTAGACAGGTCCTAACTAAACATACTAGAGCCACTTAAAACAGTTATTTAAGCCTTAAAATAGGAATGGAGGATACCAGATAATGCTAAATATTTGGGATTCATTTTCCTGTTCTTCTATTCAGTTAGCAACATCCAAGACAGAAAGAAAGCTCAACAGCAGAACAAAGATTTGAGCTTTTGAAATGTGAATGCCTTTTATCTTGACTGTCAGCAACTAAGTAAGGCCAGTTTCTCTCTCACCTCTCCGCCTCAGTGTTTCATGAGTGTCTCTTATTTGAGCACACCGTGCAGTTCCCATCATTTCTAACTCTACTTGAAAACTCCTAGTTCTAAAGTCCAGCTGCACATTTCTCTGTCCCTCTGCACACTGGGAACATCCCAGGGCCTGTCACTTCATTTCCATTGCCCAGCCAGAGCCACTGTTTTAGCTTGTTGTTTCTACAAGACACAGCATACAAATCTGAATTAGCTTAGCCTGTTCTCACTACTTCTCTGATCCGTCTTGTTAGTGCTTTGCTTGCTTATGGTCCCATATTGATTGGTTCTTCTCACACCACCAAGAACAATGCTTTCCTAAATTGCCAGTTGCTACCACAGGTTTCTTAACTCCAATTAGTGGGTCTTCACTACCATTTCTTCTTGAAAAGGAAATGGAATGGAAATGAAATGATAGTAGAAACTTTCAGACTGCATCACATAAAGTAAGAATATTATTTTATGTCATTTTATATTCAAATATGAATACTAGGTCACAGCATAAAAATGTATGCTGCCAATGGATATTTTTATTGTCTGGCTTTAAAACAAACAAACAAACAAACAAACAAACAAAACAAAACAACCCCAGGCTCTTTCTATAGCCCAAACTGGTCTCAAACTCCAGATCCTCCTGCCTCACTTTTCTGAGGACTAGGTGTATAGGGCATGCCATACAAAGCTGGGTCAAGGGTCAAGTATCTTCAGTTTAAACACCAGTCTGTAGTATAACCCAGTCTTTCATTGGCCTATAAAGCTCTAGCACGGCCCTGGACAAAGTTCTAGGGACTCACTCCTCTCTATCAAAGGAGTCCACACTTTCATGCAGTGATGCTGTCAATCACTGTTCTTCAATTAGTCTTCAAAGCCTGCCTGTATTTAATATCACCTGATCCAAAATCTCTTTATCCTTCCTACAGCAGTAAACGTCCCCTCATACAAATATACTGTAGGCCGCAAATGCCCCACTTTTACTGCTTCCAACATTTCACACCTTACTTTAACCATTATCCCCAGTTCTAAACATAAACTCTTTAGGAAAAAAGCACATTTTACTGACTGTTCAACAACACTCAGCTGAGTCTACGCCATGTAACTGCTGCTGAAAGTTTGGTAAAGTTAAGAAAGAACTAAGTACTTGCACTTCCTTAGGCTGTTACTCTGCCTTTACAAAGTGCACTCCTACTGTGACAGTGGATCAACATTCCCACACTTTTGCTACCACCTCCTCCTTAAGCGACATGAGACTCCAGGTAACATGTTTCAGCACCTATTCCATGCTTTAAGGTAAAAGGAAGGGCTCAAAGTTTGCAAAGTCAGGTAGATACCAGAAAAACAAACAAAAATCTCAACATCCTTTTGTAGGGAAAACCCCCATTTTATACATAACTATCTCTTAATAGAGACAGGCATTACTAAACTAAGTAAAAACAAAAAGCAGCACAAAATAACTGGCTGAAGTGACTTGGTACCTGCTGCTTTCTCAAGTGTGCTGACAGAGCTGCAGACTCACTGCTACATTACGATATACTACTAGGCTGTGCCTAACACGCACGCCTCACGGAGACGCTGAAGCTTCTGGTGGGCTTCATTTTTCATGTTCAATTATCTTTATTTGTAAGGTGTCTGGTACACTTTTTATACATCCATACTTCAGTTGACCTCACTCCATGGTGCACGCAACTTTGACAGACTCTGCCAACTGTTGGTTTCAGCTGTTCTTTTCCTTTTCCATGGAGTTCATAAACTAGTATTACAGGAGTCATTTTTTTCTACCTAATCATTTATTTTGGTTTGAAAAATAATTTTTTATTCCCTAACTATACTTATAATTAAGGTAAATGTAAACCTTATAACAATACTAATCAAAAATCCATCTGTTACATATAAACTTCCTTATCCACATGAAATTTTGGATATTCACCATCCAAGTAAGGTAATTTAAGGACTGCCTGGGAAAACTTTAAAGGTCACATAATATTAACTTATGTTTCAAAGAAGCCCAGATGGCTGTGCTTATTCCCTTACAAAGGGTAAAAACGTCTGTAAATGCCTTTGCTGTATGATATTTTCTTCTATTTCCACCTACCCTTCTTCTTTCAACAATGCAAATAAAGCAAATCATCCTCAGTAAGAAATCGTCACATTCCCAAGTATAGCTCTGAGTACAATAACAGCAAGTGCTGTTAAATGATGAGCCGGATCTTCAGCTTTCTCTCTAGATCTCTCTTAATATTCAGCTATCACCAACTGGCCATGAAGTTTTGGCACCTGAGTTCTGGAAGGGCAAATTCAAATTATATCATTCACCAGGCAAAATTCTATTGCAACCTTATTTTATATGTCATTTTTAGCTTTTATTTTATTCATTCTTTAAATTTTAATCTATGAGTACTGGTGTTTTGCTTGCATGTATGTATGCATACCACCTGCAAGCTTGGTGCCTGCAGCAGTCAGAAGAGGGTATCGGATCCCCGGGAACTGGAATTACAGAGGGTTGTGAACCACCATGTGGGTGCTGGGAATCAAAACAAAGTCCTCTTGAAGACTAAGTATTCTTAACCCCTGAGCCATCTTTCCAGCCCTTAAAGTATAATTTTAACAAAAAGGCAAGTGACTTGTTTATACACAAATTATGCTGAATATCTAAATATATTTCATGTAGGTACCTTAATTTCATATTTCAAATAGTAGTCCCCTTTAGTATTAAATTAATCTCACTCTTCTCTTGGTAAAACAGTGAGCATTCCTGTAATGTATGAGATGCAGAAAACTGATTCTCTTCTCTGATGATGCTTACTCCAGTCTGAAGAATGCAGCCATTTTTGGTGAAAAACTGCCACTTGATTTATTGTGTAGGTGAGAGTGCACGTGACACTCCAACATGGCTTAAAAACACACACACGCACACACACACATTTTAAACTGTGGAGCTGCATATAATCAAGGGAAGCCATACTTCAAATGTTTCCAATATTAATATTTTTTAGTATTTTCTCATTTAAAAATTGGTGCAACTGACCAGAACAGTTTCTAACACCTTCATTTCCTAGCTTATGTGCTTAAACAGATTAGAAGAAAAAAGTCAACTGCTGACCATCAAATGAGGGAAGAAAGGAAAAAAAATCATTTTTACAGTAGGAAAACTCTTACACTCCTTATTTTACCGACGAGAATACAGCCCATAAAGGTTAAGTAATTTGCTGAAGGTCACTGCTACTAATAGCAGAACCAGAAATAGAATAAGATATTTTAATTACATTCTTAGCACTTGTCATTTAAGCATTAAAAGTAATTATCAACTCATAATTAATTCCTGAAGAAGAACTGCTATGACACGTGTCTATATTTTCAAAGTTGTATAAGCTAATGAACTTTGAATTTTAATTGCCAGGACAAAAAGTAACTATTCAAGAACTTTATAAAATGTGTGTTCCTAAACTATCAGAATGAATTTCAAAATCCATCCTTCCAAACCTTGTTCCTCAACTACTTATTTATTAGTGTTAGTTGGACCACAGGAAGAATGCAGAGACAGCACTGACAACCCACTAAAGAAATGAACAGATCGCCACTCAATAACACAGATTTCCAGCCTAACTAAAGAACTAGCATCTTATTAAGCTGCAGTGTTTAGAATGAAAAGTTTTGGAAATGCACTCTAGGTTGGCTTTTGGCTATGCTGAAGATGTAAACCTGACACTTCTAGCACAAGCTAAAGGTCTGAGGCAAACAGAAAAAGTGAACAAGTTCCTTCACCCAACAGCTTTGTCTCTTGTCTCTCCTGCACCCACACCGTGGAGAGCGAAACAGACTGAGATTTTCGTTTAATGCCCAGTACACCAAGCTGTACATTTGGTTTCGGATGTTCAAGGATAAAACAGAGGGCACTGCCAGAGCACCAACTTACAAGGGATCAGTTCCAAGGACTGGAGTCTAACTAATTACAATCCTCCCTTTGTACAACTGACTATTTCTACAAAGTACTGGAAGAATGAAGCTCTTCTCTTTAAATGACACAGTCAACCAAACCTAAGATGGCAAAATTTTAGTAACCTATACAGCAGTTTGATCAATTAGGAGGTACAGGGTAGACTAGTACACTGTCTTCATATATATATATGTATATATATACATATATATATATAATTAATAAAACTATAACTGAGTTACAAACATTACACATTCCAATTAGGACCTCTGGTGTCGCTCTACAATAATACAAATATAATCTCTACTTAAAAGTAGTATCCGTTTTGCAAGGGATCGGATTTAAAAATATGGTCACCACCACCGCTCAACTGAACACACGCATAAGCAGATTTAAAGCTGTGATAAGCACAAAATCCTTACCCCATTTTGCCCAATGAAAACTTGCTCTGAAGTTTCTGCTCTTATGCTACAGAATTAACTTCCAGGGAATTTTCTCCGTCTGTTATTTTGCAGTTGCTTTTCCACCCCCGAGATCTTTTCCGGAGGCAACTCAACGAAGCAGACAATTCAGTTAGTTCTTGTCGGTAAAATGATTTCACTCGCGCTGACACCAAAACGTTCAAACATTTGGAATTTGAAAAGGTTGCGCGGAGAATATAGCACTTAACTATTCCACAAAATTACCGTACGTGTAGAAAAACGCAAAAGCCAGCTTCAGCGAGTCTGATAAAAAATGAGTTCGCTGGTCATTTCGCTCACGTCTTCCACGACACTCAGGCAGCCAGGTTACTCGGCCTTTGGGCTAAGGCGGTGGGTTCAAATTTCACACCAGGTCCCTGGGGGTGGAGCGTGCAACCCAACGCGACGTGCACTTGGATAAAAATCCTATAGGCAGCAATGCCACTATCTCCCTTACATTTAAAAAAAAATTATATAGAAGAAATCTCTTAGTGCAAACCCCGACCACTCGCGATGTGCACGGCACACCACATTGGAATCTGTCCTTTGAAATGTTCGTCCTCCTAAGACTCGGAGCAGAGAGGAGGTGGAGAGCAGGCAGAGAAGGCTGGGAAGGATCGATTCGTTCTCACGAGGAGCATCAGCGGAGCCATTTCCAGGCTGGCGGCTAGCTGGGGGCACAGCCGCCGGGGAGCAGCGCTGGGGGCCCGAGCCCACCTCCCTCGGCTTCCCGGCCCCCGCCGAGCACAATGGAGCCCCGCTCGCGGCCGCCCCCTCTTCCCGCCTCTCCTCGCAGCACCCGCGGCCTCGGGCTCCCGACGGCGGAGAATGAATGAATCAGAGAACCCAGCCCCGCGCGGTCCCCGGCACCCAGCCCCCAAGCTCCTGGCGGCCGCGCGCTGAGGAGAGAGGCTCGCGGCTCGTCCGAGGCACGGCAGCCGCGGCTCGTGCCCCCACCCCGGCTCGTCTCTCCCGCTCCGCGCTGCCTCACATTCCCGGGGCCGCCGCTGCCTCCTCACACTCCCCTTAGCGGCCGCCTCCGCCGGTCCGGGCGGCCTGGCGCCCGTCGCTGCCTCTGACTCCACAGAAGCGGGCTCCGAACCGAGCGCAGCTGAGGGCGCCGCTTCCCGGTCCGCGCCGCCGGCGTGAGGCGAGCACGGCAGCGGAGCAGGAGAGGGGGCGGGGCGGGGCGGGGCGGGGTGGAGAGCGCGGCCCTCCCGGCTCGAGGGGCGGAGCGCCGCCGCCGCCGCAGGCCCGCGGAGGAGGTGGGGCGCGGCGGAGGCGGGGCACGGGCTCGGACCGGGCGGCGAGGAACAACCCCGGAGGGGATTAGCCGGCCGGTCCGTTGGTCCGTCCCTTTTTCCTTCCCCTCCCCTAGCGGCCGGCGGCGGACGGGCAACGCGCTCGGCTCCTGCGCTGGCTCCGGGCCGCCACGGCCTGGTCCGCTCCACACGCCAAGCGCTCGCGCTGTGTCTCCATCCTCCCCGCAGGAGGACCTTTAAATAGCAACGTCAGCGCGCTCCTCTCCGCACATACGTCACCCTCCGCTCACGTCACCTTGTGCGGGGGATGATGTCACGCGGCCGGAAGTACTGCTAAATTAGGGAAGGAGCTGGGGGAGGCGGGCTGGGCGAGCTGCTCCGGGCCCACCTGCTCTCTTTTCACTCGCTTCTCCTTAAAGGCCAAGGCGCTGGAGACAGTCGGAGAGAGCTCGGAGAAGGAAGCGGCGAGAGGTTTCCTTGGCATAAATGTGCCAAATGCGAATGAATCACTCATAGCAACAGTGCCGAAGTTTCGCCGGTAAAGTCCTGTCTCTCTCTCCCACTGGGTTTGCACCAGCATCCCCAGGCTGTTCACATCCCAACCTGCAGGGAAAGGGAGAGTGATCACTACTGGTAGACTCGGGGGAAACCACCGTTAATTTTAGGAATCATAAATACCATTCTGAACATAGTCAACTTTTAAGCTTTCTCTCCTCCTGATGCCATGCATTTTAACTTAAAAAAAATTAGAGCTTTTTTATCCTTATTTCAAAGGATAGTAATTAAAGCAGACGGAGATTTCCAAATGTTCTAAATGTTGCTATTCGCAACATAGCCATGGTTCTGTAAGGCATAATGAGTCAAATTCATTAAAGTAAAACTTAGTTCCTCAGATAATTATCGATCCTTCTACAGCATCGCAAATGCCAACGAATCGCCTCAGGTCTGACTTACCAAGGATATATGAATTACAGTCCAGAAGCAAAGTCCTACTTTATTAACACAAATACATTTTGTGATTACATTTGGGTTACTTTTTATTTTGAATCTTGTAAGCACAGTACCTCTCGAGTATATTTTAATTTTCTATGTGGCAAGGATGATTAGCCACCCATAAATTTATAGCTACATATGTGAAATAGTGTTTTTAAAATCGTAAAGTTTTAAAATGAGCCTTTTATTAGTTAGTCTTACAGAATGAGCTTTGCTTTTATTTGATTTAAGTTGACAATCGTGGTTCAGAAATAGAATTGCTGCACACTGCTGAAGGCCATTAGTACTTCAGTTACTCTATAGATTCAGTGACCACATTTTATAAACTAAAGTCATTTGACATTAAACAGAACATTTAAAACCTGAAGTGACCCGGAAAATCCAGGACATAATATTATTACAGAATCATGAATTTGTCCTTAAAAGATTAGTACGTCAATACCAATGCAGTTCAAAATAAATCAGCTAAAATTCTATAGATTATGCCAGGAGTGGTGGGTTGATTAAGACCTTGAACTCCTGTGTTCTCCTCTCTAGTCCTTCCTAAGCAATGAAATTACAAGAATGTCCCTTGCTTGCCTGCTATATGTGTTTTCAGTACATGTTTTTGATATTAATACATGATTCTGAATTAAGAAACAACAGTTTTGCTTTTTTGTTTGTTTTGCATTGACATTTTCTTGCTTGGAAACTCAAGAGTAAAGCAAAGTGTTAGTACCAATTTGTAACTAATCAGACTGCCTGGTCATTTATCTGAACATTATAAAGTTATGATCTGGCTTTAAATTTGAAATATTAAACAGACTGAGAGGGTTTTTTCCTTTTTCTCACATGTGTATGCACATGTGTGTGTGTGTGCACGTGTGCATGTGCTGGCACATGTGTACATGACAAGAATGAAAATCAGAGGTTTAATGTGAGAAGTCTCCCTTGATTGCTGTCCACCTTATCAATTGAGAGGGTCTCTCTCTTAACTCAGCTCATCAGGAGGGCGAATCCAACTAGCCAGCTTACTCTGAGCATCCAGTGTCTGCCTTCCCAGTGCTGAAACTGCAGGTGGATGCCCCTCCCCCACCCCCCAGAGTTCATGCGGATATGCCTGGGATCTCAGCTCTGATCTTCACACTTGAAGGGTAACTAAGGGGTTTGGTTTGGTTTCTTTTAACATTATAATGAAAGGTTAATGAAAAGCAAATATCTGCTTTCCAATTTGTCTAATACATATTAGCATACTGATAGAAACTGGAACTAAGTTACATTTCAGATAAATTGAGCTTTTTACTTAAATATAAAATACAAAAACAATGACACTGTTACTTTTCAAATAATGTCATCTTATGATCTTTACAAAGTGTTATTACTCTCTAAAATGAAAAAAACTTTTAAAAACTACTTCCCATCTAAAATAAGTCTCTATTTCGGGTCTTTCTTACCGTGTTAATTAACTCTTATGTTACCATTTTCAAACACTTCCTTCAGCCGGGCAGTGGTGGCATACGCCTTTAATCCCAGCACTTGGGAGGCAGAGGCAGGTGGATTTCTGAGTTCGAGGCCAGCCTGGTCTACAGAGTGAGTTCCAGGACAGCCCGGGCTATACAGAGAAACCCTGTCTCGAAAAACCAAAAAAAAAAGAATCAAACACTTCCTTCAAGCGTATGATTATAACTTCCTCCTATTTGTGTTCTTTATAAAACAGATTTTTACCCAACTGCCAAGACAGTCTGTCAGCTGCTTCAGTCCCTTTAGAGTTAGTACCTTTCGCTCAGTTTCTGTTTGTCACAAGGTGGGGTTTCTTCTTAGCTACCTCTTGCCAGCTGAAAGAGAACAACTTTTTGTACGTAAATCTGATGGCTCACTGTGATATCATTACTTAAAACCTAAGTGATCATTTCAGCATCTTATTCTAGCAATAATTGGCCAAGCTTTGTTCTTTCCCCTGTGTGGGGTTTACATATCAGGAAGTAGCTGTATGTATTTTGCCAAAGGTGTAAGTAAAACCTAGGAACGTAATGAGACATGTTCTAGGGAAAATAAATGCTCTTACTACCCTACTTTGAGACAATACTAGTACACATTCGACAGCAGTCGGAGAACCATTATGTGGCTTTTTATCTATCAATACATATCCTTTCTGCTAAAATAAGCTGATGCCATAAATTCTAACTCTAATTTCCTTGCATTGTTTTAAAGTACTGAACTTCCTCGAAAGGAATGAGTTTCTCTCACCGGAAGAGGAAGAAAGTACTTCAGTAGCATTTCAGCTTTTTAACAGTTCCTCTTCCCCAGTATGCTCTCAAATTTGTGGGGCGGTTTATGAATACCCTCTGATTTTAGAATCTGTGGGCGAAGACATCTGTTTCAGTTTTGAGTTTATTTCCGTGCCCTTAGCAGGAGATGGTAGTCTCCAATGGGGATGTTCATAGATGTGCCATGAAGTGGGGCTTTTTCAATGAAAAGTCATTCATGGCCTAGAAAAACAATGCAGAAAAGAGATTTAAAGCCAGGTTTTATTTTTAATTGACTAACATTAGGTAATAGCAACTCCCTTTGGAATATTGTATTTTTAATCACAAAATGCCACTGTCATTTCAAAAAAGTCATAAGCAGAAATACTAGATAGATAACTCCCCTGCAATAGAAATCCCACTAGCTTATGACAAAAACATATAGGAAACTAAATAACCAGTGAAGACTAAAAATAATAAGAAAAGAATGAAATAGTAGAAAAAAATTTCTAGTGGATGCTAAAAATCTCATTTCCCATGCTTTAAGATTTAGCACATATAGGCCATCATTAACTTGAGTTGGCTTGTGTAAAGACATGTTTCATTATTATTACAAGTCTTCATCTCAATAGAAATGAGCTGGCTGAAAGGTCTCTCCAAAGGAATTTCAGTTAAAAAGAGGGAAAAAACAACCTCAAGAGTGGGAATATAGGTGTTTGGCTTCTCTAAGGCTAAGTCTTCCAGACAGATTTACTCATCTGAGAGCATCCATACTTGATACTTTTTTTCTCTCTTTAAAAGAATGGTTTGTGAGTTGTAGTGGGAGGGAGATTGAAGAATTATCCACAGGAAAATGTCTGTAGAGCATCGGAAGTGACTTCATGGCACTCTCCTGCTTTGGTTTTTATTGTAATCTCATTGCTGATTTTCCAAGTATTGTCAGAAAAGTAAAACACAGTCCTAGGCTTGTAAAAGAAAATTCCAGAAGGTTTCCAGTCAGGTTCTGTCAAGGGCCAGAATAGAATAGAGGAATTGATTATAATAATCCCATAATCAGGAAATCAATTTGCAATCTATTTGTATTTTTTAACATTCGGGGGATATAGTGCCTTTCAAAAGGTATGTAGCTTAACTTTGTTTTGTTAGACATTTCAAGCAGCGGACACAGAGAACAGTCTGGGAAAACACGCA